CGAATTTATAAATAACAAAACTAGCATCCGACTTTCAATACTTAGAAGAAAATTCTTAGCACTCGCCTTGTAAAATTTATATCCGATAAAAATAACATTAATTTCATAATGAGATATATGTATTAGCATCTGAATCTTACAAGTTTGATATGTTCAAAAGCTTTGGATCTTAGTCACCATCGGGTCCATGGCTCAAATAAATAGTGAGATCAAATCTTTGATGTGATTATTCTCCATCTAAATGGATGATCCAATTATCCTATCTTCATGGTCATTCAATCTTTGTTATCGATAAGCCACATTTTATTCTAAGTTATTTTAGATTTCGATGTTCTTATTTCATAAGCCACATTTAATTCTATGTTATTTTAGAATTCGATATTCTTATTTCATAAGCATTCTATAACTATAATATGATGTTCTTATTTCATATGTGATATAAAACTTAAAAAACAATTATTCAAATTAAACATTAAAAAGAAAAAGTAATGAAAACGGAATCCCATGTGACATGTAGCAAAATACATTTAAAATACGTAAGATTACATGTATTTCAAAACGTAATTCGTAATTTACACATATCACATGTAATGTTGTGGATAACTTACATATCTTTTCCAATATAATCAATATCACATATGATACATTAACAAAAATAAATGATCCTTTTTTCAAGAAAAAAAACGTCGATTGATTGTGGATATCACATATGATTTTTGACGAAAATTCTAATTTTTTATAAATAAACTACTTCAATAAAATAAATATTTTAAATAAAAAATAAATCACATTTTTTTTAAATGTTGTAAAAATAAAAAATAAAGAATAAATGAAAAATGAAAAATAATCATGCTTAAATCATAAAAACTATTTAAAAAAGATCATGAATAAATACCTTAATAAATGTATTAAATATTCTTTATAAAATAAATGAATTTCCATATATAACATTTATATAACAATTGACACATTATTTTGGGCAATTTTTAAGAAAGTTTATTTAAAAACTTATTCAAATAAATGATTGACCTACGATTATTCTCTTATTTCCTTAAATACGTTCAATTCTAATATAAACCTTCCTTTACCGACATATTTTTCATATATATAATTTTGGATGAACATTAAACAATTTCTTGTTTTAGAGGATCCTAATGATAACAAATATATACATTTATATTTGTTATTTGTATTATTTTTCATCATTAATATCATTGATTTTGTTTTATAATTAATTCAAAACATATAATCTCTCGAACACTAATATTGTACTTATTGATTCATCTTAATTATATCATCTGTATTATTTTACATAATCAAATATGTTATAATCATTGTATTTAATATTAAAATTGATATTTGACTTGTAAATAGAAAATAAAAAATATTGAAAATAAATATTATATATTGATTGATTTAATAATTCTTCCAGTAAGGTTCACTTTTGGTTCCCTAATGTTTGTCAATTTCAACGAATATCGTTCTTAAACTATGAAACTCGGATTTGGTCCTTTATGTTTGTCATTTTACAATAGCTTTGGTCCCTTTGTTAAATGACCGTTAACTTTTTTCCATTTAATTCAATTAAATGAGGAGAATTTTGATCAATTTACCTATTTTCTATTATATATATATATATATATATACACACACACACACAAATAAAATACAAGTACCGTTCAACCTGTCAACCATCATCCTCAATTACTACAGTCTAACATCCTCAACCATCCACCCTCAACAATACCGTCCATCAATCAAAGCACAAAACACATAAAATCAAATCTCAAATCCAATAAAATTTCAAAATCTCAAGAAGATCAACAATAACAAAACCTTAAATTAAACCTACAACTCAAATCCCTACAATCAGATCAAACATTAACAAAAATATAGTGCCAATTCAATTCACAGAAAGGTTGGGCATTATCATCAAATCGTGTACATAAAATACATATATGCTCCCACGTAACATCTAAAAATATCAAATTTTATAATTAACCATGAAAAACAAATTTCTTGGAATCGAATAAAATCCTCCATCACAATAAAAATTGATCCAGAACATAATAAGTGTATGAATATCAAAAATTTGCTTTAAATAAAAAATGTAGAACCTTTATACGAACATGAATTTCAAAGCTTAAAACCTAATAAGTAAAATGACGCATAGGTATAAATGAAAATCTCATACCACTAATTTCTTTACAGAATTCATCGAAACATGAGATATCACTTCAAAAAGTAAGAGACTTTAACAACAAAACAAAAAAAGACAATCATATTTGACTACAATGAAATTGGATTTATAAGACGCCTAAAACATCTATGCGTCCTAATAGAATATTTTATCTAACTTAAGTAGAGGTGTTCGCTGTTCGTGGTCTGGTTTAACCCCTCAAACTACAAATCAAACCGCTGTGACAGTTAAGAAAATTTTTGAACCGAGCAATTTGACAGTTAGTGACTAAACCAGACAAATTGGACCCCAAAAAAGCGGTTTGATCTGACCGTTTAGGCAGTTTGTGCCTAATATGGACTATAAACTAAAAAACTTAATCCAACTCCAAAATGAAATTTCTACAATATCGCATCATCAAAAGAATATTATACCGAATTATAAAATAAACATCTATATCCAAAATTATAAAAAAAGACATTGAGAAGTTGAAAAAAAAAAATTAAACAAGTCCATTGACAATAGTTTTAATTTTGGATAAACATCGAGCAAGTCGAAGATGTTGGTCCCAGCCGGATCTACAAGAGTTTAGAGGTGATCAGTTTGTAGAAGGGGGGATGATTACAAACACAGTAACTTTCACTTTTAAAATATATATTGATATAGAAAGATCAATACATATTTTTACAGATTGCTTGCGTAATAGACAAGGTAAAGAAAGACCTATCTAAAACAATCTAGAGATACACACAAATACACTTAGCAAATATAAGAAGATTTGCCGATAAGGAATAAGACTAGAAGAGTGTTCTTAGGGGAGCTTCTTAGAATCATAGGGAGAGAATTCTAATCTGCTTGTGTTTTCCTTGTATGTGTATATGCTTGCTGGATAAACAGAGCACTTATCTATTCATACCTATTGTATTAAATGCAATTCAGTAGAGGCAGAACTTGTGTCAAGCTCTTAGAGGAAAGTTTGTCATTTGCTACAGTCAATAGTACTTTTGTCTATTCATGAGCAAACATCTGTTCATAGAGTTGATGAGCACTAGAGTCGATTAATCGGCTCCGTGCAGTACTATACTCTTGAGAGGGTATGGGTTTGTCCTTTGTGTGCGGAAGGACAAGATAAAAACAATCATGCATGGCAAGCTTCATTTGATCGCTGAATGTTGGAATGACGCTGGAGGTCTCTACCGCATTCAATGAGGCTTATGCAATTTTCACACATATTTTGACCAGGTTGTAATCACTGAATACCGTTTCAGATCACGAACGCGCTAGTCACTAATCTTCAGTTTCAGACTTTGACTTTTTGCTGAAGGTTCTTTGGTGTGAGTTTTGTCTTCTTGAAGTATAACTGTCACTGTAGAGTTACAATATATGTTTCAGCGATCACTGAACAGACTCAGTGACGATAGCTGGAACTGAATAGATAGAAACATAATACTTCGATGGGTAAAAGGGATTTTCATCAAATCAATGAGAGAGAGGATCAATAAACTCCCCCTATTTGATGATGACAAAGCGACATAAAGAGAATTGCTTAGGGTATAATAGTAAGGAAAAGTTACATGTAAAGTACATGTCCCTTTTAACTATTTTGGGGTCTTTTTTTTAGTGAGTTTTTCTTATATAGGTTTACTTAAGTTACAAGTTTAAGAAATACAAGTAGATGATGAGAAACAGAAACTGAAAGCATGTTCACTAATTAGAGATTATCAGTGACTGTAAGAGCAAACTGGAACTCATAGACATGTATCCTATTACTCTTTTTAGGGATCTTTTTCAGTGATACTAGTGAAATGCTTATATTGATCAAATTGAAGGATACAAGTGTTACAACAGTACATTCTAGACTTATTACATATAAGTTGTACACTAAAAGAAAAGACATAAATAATAAGATTTACAAGATAGAAAACTTTAACTACTCTAAGTCGTTGAAGTTGATGTAACCAGGTACTTCTTCTCCAAGCATCTTTCAACGTAGAAATTTATTTTTGATCTCGTGGTCTATCGTCTCACCATACAGGTCGTTGTCCAACCAATATCTTTGATAATCTAGATGTTCTATAGGACAGAGACGAAACTCATATACTATTTGAAAGTTGTGTTCGCCATCATAGTTAAGGACTATAAATCCATACTCATGCTTTAGGTGCACCGTGTTGGGTGTGTAAGGACCCTTCGCTGGCATGTATAGGTTCAACATAATGATATTTGGCTTCTTCGAATCCTTCAGGATTTCATCCAAGGAGAATTTTGTTTCATGTTCATTACTCAAAGTTGGTCCATCATTAGGATCAAAAGGTTTTCTTCTTCCACCAGGCATCAATGTTGGCTTTGTAGGAACAATAACAAATTTGGACATCTTCTTGATCAGCTCGCTGAGGATGTCTTCAATTATTGGCTTATATCTTGCCTTTGAGCGTTGAATGGCTTGGCGATTTTCAACCATTCACTGTAGTCGTATTGTCCAAGGTAGAAAGGATACTCAATGACATCATCAAGGTTGTCTCTGGAGATGAGCAGTCCACCATCTTTAATTCATCCACTAATTGTGACGTTTGAGATGCGATAGAGACTATTCTTTTATTTAAATGATCTTTGCTCCATTTCGTGTCTCTATCTTTCAGCATAATTGCTCTTTGATGTTCAGATTACAACAACTGAGAGCAATTTAGCCTGAGCCTTGACATCAGTCATCTTTTTAGAATTTTTCTTCGGAAGAACTTGAGAGGCAAGAGACTTGGCCAGCTTGAGGCTATCTTCAGTCTGTTGACATTGTATGCAGAGTTTTTCCTCAGCCTTGACTGCTTCAACTCTCAGCTTCAATAAGAAAGTCGAACTCACCATAAATAGAGATACGACGAGGAATTTTTACTCTAGTTTGGTCGAGTGACTCCTTAAGCTTAGTCATTTGTAGGTCACTAGGAGCTCCAGATATTGGGTTTTGAGGTACCCATTCATCTAAACGACCACGGGTGGTAGAAGGAATGGTAGAGGAGAGTTGAGAGAGAGAAGTGATGAGGGCAAACCAGGAGGGTTGAGTATATCCTTGAGGATTGATAGGCTTGAATAGAACGATCAGGTTTCCTTCTTCAACAACACCTTTGTCTTTAAAGGAGGTGTTTTGGTTCTTTGTAGACGTCTTTTTCTCTTTCTCCTCCTGCGATGAAGATTCCCTGAGAGAGACACCTTTTTTTGCGGCAGCTAGTTTGGTGTGGTATTTAATGGTGAAGTCATCATCATCGTCGTCTTCATCATCATTTTCACCACCAAGATCTTTTCTAGCATCAGGAATGGAAAGAGGATCATCAACTTCATCGCCATCATCATCATCTTCATCTTCCTTATCACCAACATTATCTACAGAGGTGATAGGAAGGTCTTCGTCTTGAGCATCAGCTCTGAAGGCATCATCATTGTTCTCAGCTTCAACAGCTTCAGCTTCACGGGATGTGATGGCATCTACAACTTCAGTAGCTTCAGCTTCATGGGATGTGATGGTATCTATAACTTCAACATTAGCTTCATTTGCTTCAACTCTTTCATCATGAGCATCAACATCAACTGGTGTTGTAGGAACAACAACAGCAACCTGAGGTAAGTCTTTCTCCCCCACTTTGTCATCAGTAGAACGAGAGGTGAGATTATTAAGAATTTTGGTAGTAAGATCCAATCGCTGCTCAAAATCAGCCATTGCTTGAGTTTGGAGAAGATCAAGTTCAAGTAATTGATCCAGCGATAGGCGATCAGCTGCGGAGAAGGAGGGTGCAGGTTCTAGCGCTGGTCATTGAAGAAGATCCAGTATCTGTTGCATCAGCTCACCATGCCTGGTAAGCTGAGCCTGCACTTCATCGGCCTTGCTATTGAGAGTAGAGATGGCCTCAACATTGGTGCAAACATCGGCTTGCACCCCAAATAGCAATTTCTTCACATCATCGACTTCAGCTTTGACATCTGAGAGGTCAGAAGAATGGTCATCCAGGAAAGGCATGTCTGTATGGACTTGATCCATTTTGATTAAGACAAACTCTACAGCTGGGAGAATCAGCTTGACATCGTCAGTCATGTTGTATTCATCTTCCATGGCTGTCGATTCTTCATCGAAAGGACCTAAAAAAGAAGAAGTTTGAGCAAAAGATAGCTCGAGATTAGAAGAAATGAAGGGGTAGGAGGATGGTATAGTACCTGGAGGGTCATCAGCACCATCTGAAGGATTGATGTTGGTTCTCTCTTGGTTGCCTTCGAGAGGATAGGCTTCCCTTGACTGAGGTATCTCAAGAGGAGCAACCTTAGGTCTTGTGGTGATTGCTTCATCACTAGTAAGGACAATCACTGATGAATCACCAGCATGTGTCGAGACCAAAAAAAGAGGATAAAAGAATATGGCTGAGAATGGTGGAAGTGGGTGTCCAGTAGTGGCTATGATAATATTCACACCTTCAATGATTTGGGTCACTAAGGCGGTTGGGAGAGGAGCCACGTGTACGATAGTGACTGATGAAATCACTGAAGAGCTAGGAGGGGTATTGACAGAAGTTGCCTCGGGGATAAGGCTTGTTTTAATGACTGAAACCTGTTGAGAGGTAACAGCCAGGGATGTGGGTAGCCCCTTTTTGGCTTTCTTGGACCTCAATGGAGAACCAAGAGTTGCTTGAGAGGATGATCTTTTAGAAGAGAGGGTGGTGGTGGTTGGGATAGACTGAAGGGGTATTTCCTTAGTCATGACCCCCTAAGCAAGAGAAGAAGGATATGCAAGCACAGTTGCAGAAGATAAAAAAGTACTACAATGAGTTCCTTGTACAATATCCATCAGAGATTAGTAAGGAACATTTGTAGATTTAGACTTGTGGTCCAAGATTCTAGACCCAATCCTACAAATAGCGAAGTTGCCTTCTGTGGGGTATTTGTTGCTAAATATCTTAGCAAACACCATACACAAGAATCTGGTGTAAGGCACCACCTTTTCCCTTTGGCGCTTGTTCAGCTTCAGCACCAGGTCTTCAAAGATAACACCAGCAAAGTTGATTGGCCTCTGGTGAATGATAGAAATTCCAATGTTCAATGCAACCTCGGACACTTGGTCTTGTCCACCAGTTTTGCCTCCCATACACTGAATGAAATGGGTAAACAGATATTGTCATTCCGCAGACATGTGGTTCTTCACAATCTTTGAGAGCGATTTAAGGGGATCACTAGAAATCCTTCTTGGTTGGCCAGATCTAGCCAATATCATCTAGACAAGAGATGATGTCTTTAGTGGACGGTTCACTGGCATAAGGACCCTTTGGAAGCTGGGGAATGGTCCTTAACGTGGCTACGCCAAAACTGACAGTCATCCTGTTAAAGGTGAAAGAGATTTTCTCGACCAGTTTACCAGTCTTGTCAGTTTCTTGCTTGACTTTAGCAGTAAGCCAGAACTGCTGGAGGACTTCTTTCACCATGACAGGTTCATGGGTGAGAGCAAAGAAAATAGAAGAATTCTTGAGAAATCTAGCAGCATCCTCGAAATGTGGTTTGTTGGTGGGAATGTCTACAAGCACCACATGGTTGTTGGGCTTGAAAGACACTTCATCAATAGTGAACTTTACGTTCTTGGAAGACATTTCTGTTATATATAAGAGAAAACAGAAGATAACAAGTTTGTTAGTAATCCACAAGAGAATAGATGTAAATTGTAAGTTTTGAATAAAACTTCTTTTGAAAAAGCCACAAAAAGAAGTAGGGTTTTTCAAGAAGAATAAGTGTATAGAAACCTAGATTATAACCAAGTATTAGAATGTGTTATTAATCTGTATGTTAGTTGTTTAAGAGAACAAGTTCTTAAATAACATAACAAGAGTTTCTTCGAAGAAGAATAGATCAAAATAAGAAAGAAAGGGTTATCAACCTGTGATTTTTAGAAGAAGAAGGTTGAAGGTTTTTTAGCGTTCTTTGTTTCTTGCTTGCAGAAGTCTTAGAAGCAGAGGTTCGATAATAATTTTTGTAAGCGTAAAGAGAAAATAAGAGAAGAGGTCTATTACTTATAGATAAGAGGAGAGCGAAATGGAAAGAGGAGAGAGAAAAATACAACTTAAAAGTTGTGCAATGATGAAAAAGTTAGCACGTCCTTATCCACGATTGGATGGAATTTCGAGGGGTCGCATGTGTCAAAACGGTACGCGCATCTCAAAAAAAATCGTATCATTAAAAAGAAATGACGTTAGAAGATGTTTCACTTTCCATTTTCTTTTAAACAAAAGGTTCAAGTCATTTAAAAACATATGAGATACTGAATATAAATAATCAGTATGAGTTTTCAAGAGTATATCTTTTTGAAAAGATAAGTTTAAAAAGTTCAATGATAAGAAGAATCACAGAAGGAATTTTTAATTTTAGAACACTGATCATTGATTAATAAAAGGTTCAATGATGTTTTTTGTTTTAAGACAAGATAAGTATATCTAGAGAGAGACATACTTGCTTAAAGGTTCAATGATAGAAGGAGCACTGAAATAATCTTTCAAAACAGTTTGATCACTGAATATGGAAAGATTCAATGATAGTTTTAAGTTTTGAAAAGAGGGATAGGTATACATACCTTAGAGAGAGAAGATATATTTACTCGATAGTTCGGTGATAAAATAAGAACACTGAATCATTTCACTTACTGAGTGATGCTTATAGCTGAAGGAATTAATCCTCAGCGTTCAGCATTCCAAATTCGCTGATCAAGATATTAAATCTTTTCTCATCAAGAGGCTTTGTAAAAAAGTTAGCGAGTTGGTACTCAGTTGGAATAAAGTAAAGTTCAATATTACCATTTATAGCATGATCTCTGATAAAATGATATATGATCTCAATATTTTTGGTCTTAGAGTGAAGAACAAGATTGTTTGCAATAGCAATAGCACTAGTGCTATCACAATAGATAGTGATATTGGAAAGCTGTAGATCGTAGTCGTTGAGCTAGTTTTTCATCCCAAGAACTTGGGTACAACAGCGACATATTCAGTTTCAGCAGTTGAAGTGGACACATAATTTTCCTTTTTACTTGTCCATCTAACCAACGTTCCACCTAGAAGCTGACAGCCTCTATTGGTGCTTTTCCTTCAAACTGCAAAATCACTATCCGAATAACCTATTAGGTCAAAACCTGAACCCTTGGGATACCAAAGACCCAAGTTTGGAGTTCCCTTCAGATATTTGAATATGCATTTTACAGCAATCAGATGAGATTTCTTAGGTTCAGATTGATATCGTGCACATAGACAGGTAAACTACATGATATCTGGTCGAATTGCTGTGAGATATAGCAGGGAGCCCTTCATTCCTCTATAAACAGTAACGTTTACAGGCTTTCCATTTGGATCCTTGTTTAGTGAGAGAGGAGGATCCATTAAAGTCTTCATAGATGAGCTGTTTGTTAAGATTGAGTTTTAGTGTTAATTGTATTCATTCTTGAAAGTCTATATTGTATTTCTAGATTGTTTGACTTTGTAAATCATGAGTTTGAGAGAAATATACTATCATTGAAGTAGAGGAGTTTTATTGTATTCCTTGTAAGGGAGTTTTAGAAGTAGAGGAGATCAATTGTAATACTACGTGTAATATTGAGTTTGAGAGAAATATACTATCATTGACCAGCTGACTTTTTCTCTCTAAACTCATCTCATGAATATTGCCATTTACATTGTGCTTGAAGATGATTCTTGAAGATTGATTGAAGATTGGGACACACAATTGGTATCAGAGCATGTTTGCAGTGAGATTGTATTCAAGTTATCATCAAAAGTTGAAAAAAATTCTGGAAATTTAATTTTGACTTAGCCGTATTTTGTTTATCACATCATGTTACCCAATTCAGCTTTATCTTCATCAAGTTTTAGCCGGATTTACCTTTTCTCGGACACAAGGCTTGGCCGGATTCAAGTCATTCTCGGACGACAAGGCATCCGGATTAGGCACTTCTCGGTCATAGCCTTAGCCGAGTTTAAGTATAATTGCTCAACTCCGCATCCGGAGTCACCATACTTGGTCACCACATTATCCATATTCAAGTCATTCCTCGGAAACAGCCTTTCCAATTTGTTCATCCTTGGATACAAGTCTAGCCGAGCTCTAGTTTCCTCGCACAACAAGTCATCCTGATTCAGCCATACACGGTCATCACTTAGCCATTTTCAAGACATCCTCGTACATCAAGGCATCCGGATTTGGGCCATCCTTAGTCACCATTGTATCCTGAGATCACTTCCTTGCATACCATTTTAGCCATATTCAAGCAATTCTCGGACAAGGCCTGTCCGGACTCTACTTGTTCTCGCACACTACCTAAATCGTATCCATGTTCAATGCATACTGTCCAGATTGCTACCATTCTCGGTAAAGACAGCCAATTTCAAGTCTTCCTCGGACAACCTATTTTGACATTTAGCATTTTCCTAATCATTTCCTTGTTCGAGTTTGATTTCTTTGATCATTTTTTTTGTCTGGAGTACATATTCCTTGTCTGAATTTCACCAAGTTACCAGGATTTGAGCAGCTTTTAATTGTTTTGAATTGTGATTGCTTACTGCATAGATTCTTTTTTTATCAATCTTGAATTTTTAAATGGCATCATTCTTTGAGAACGAAAATAAGGATTTGAAAGAAAAGATTTGTGAATTGGAGAAAAGTGTGCATGATTATAAAGAAAAATATGTGAATATGTTTTAT